ACTACTACTACTACTACTACGCTGCTTTTCTTCTTCTTACTGCGTGAAGTTCCCGAGGTTTAAAAACTGTTTGACTCGTTCCAGGGGGGTAGCAGTTTTTCTGCTTTGTGTTGCGATTTGAAGACATGCTGAACGCTGTTAATGATTTCTCGAGTTTTGGCCTGGTGTTGATCGATGATGTGGGGCAAGTTCACGTTTTTGATGGATACTGTGTTTTTTCTGCGTTTTTGGAACCTTCCAGTTTCTGCGGTTTCGAGTTGGGTGCTGTTCCTTCTCGAGTCTTAGCATGTTTTGCGCGGATCAAGTTGTTTGAAACTGCTTTTCTATGGACGTGTTGGAGGCTTCAACTTAATGTTCGGGCCTTGGCTTTGCCGTTACACAGGCTTTGCTGTCTGACAGGCTTTGCGGTTAGACAAGCTATGTTGTTAGACAAGGGTTTCCAGGAGGGCCTTCGGTGATAGTTCTGATTTAAAATGGCTTGGCTTGGCTTGGCTTGGGGGGGGGGGTGGCTTGGGGCTGGTCGGATGGCGGGGCTCCAAAACGCAGAAAGACACAGTATCCGCCAAAAACGTGAACTTGCCCCACATCGGTCAAAATCGGGCCACAACTCGAGAAATAACAGCTTGCAGCATGTCTTCAAATCGCAACACAGACAATCCACAAAAAAAGGCTACGCCCCTAGAACAAGCAAACAGCTCAAAACTCTATAAATTACACACTCAAACGAGGAAAACACTGGCGTCACCAACCAACCCTGCGCCTACTACTTCTCCGCCCGCTACTGCTACTGTTAATTTTACGGCTACTGCCACTGCAACTGCCTCTGCTGCCGCTGCTACTACTACTCCTGCTCCGGCTGTAGTAGTGTAGGAGGAGCAGTACTGTAGCAATAGATGCCGTCGAAAAGCTGAAGAACTACATGACAGGTGTTGTTAAAGGGGGGATTAGGGATTGCTGGAAGGGGGATCGCTACAGTGCGGAAGAATCTGTCGGTTTTAGAGGTCTTGTGAAAGGCACTGCTCTATGGCCATGTCCACCTTGAGCTTCTGCAGAACCGAAGATAAGTTTTTATTTGGAATATGGGTGTTGCCTAGACCACTCGAACTTTATCCCAACACTGCTCCCAATTCCCCACATCAGACTCCAAGGTTCGCTCCTGCAGCGGAATGCCACGCAAAATCTCTGCATCCACCTGTTGGATGTGGCTCCGATGATTCTTACAACGACTCAGCATCCCTCTGGCTGCTGATCATTTTCAGCTTTTCCATCATGAGTCGGCCTTCCCACCCGGGTAACTACCAGAATCTGTCTCAAGCCTGAGCGCCTGAAGCCAACCTTCAAGGAGTACCTGCATACAAACACCATGTGTTGGTCCTCCCGAGCCGAAGAGCCTAGCATGCACATGGGCGAGCGCCTCAAGGTGTCGCATGTGCTGCAATCGGCTCCACTTGCCTCGTCATGGCTCACTGACATCGAACACACATCGGCTCATGCAAGAAGCCCCCTCAAATCCACCCCTACCCCGCAGGACTTCAAGAAGACTCTGCCAAGCTGCTGGGGACTCTCGAGGCACATGGATCCTGCGTGACCGCAGCCCGCAACTCCCTCAGCCCTGCTTCCTGCAGCGAAACAGTCTTGTTGTTGATGCACTAGCATTGCATGTATGCATACCCTCGATCATTCGGACACACATCAGGCACGGATGCGTGCCGAGAGGTCTCAAGTCATTCGGCCAGGGGGCCGGTGGTGCAGGGGAATCGGCCTTCTCTGTGTAGCTGCTCACGACCTCCGGCGCCTCCTGAATGTTAAGGCTCTTCCGATGAATAGGGCAATCTTTCAGCTCGAACATTGTCTGTCAATGCAGCGACAATACGGCAGACTGTCATGATTTCATGCCGTGGTCCTCTACGCTCTTACTGGTTGAAGGAACTGAAGGAAAGGGCTGTGAAAAAGACAGGAATAGTCCTCACTTGCAGGTTTGCATGCTCTCTGATCTCCGCCGGGCAGAGGCACGGAAAAACACCACTGCAGGGAAAGCCGTACCTGACCCTTCAAGTCCAAAATGCTGTGCCGCAGTAACATTACACATACCTGACGGTTCGTCACAAGTAAACGTGAATAATAGCAACAAAGAATGACAAACACATGAGTTAAAATGACAACAAGACCCATAATGCTAACATGCAAACTCAAACCAGACTTATTACTAAGCATTCAGCCTAATCGGCTTTACCAATGCCAAAACATGCAGGCTATTTAGAAAACAACATGTAAGACTCCTTTGGGCCCTCCGCCAGGTCTTCTTCCGCGCAGCAGCTCGATCGCACTCCCATGTCCAGCCAAGGACGCCCTCAAAACGGGCTCTTGTGACTTCTATCACATCTGCTACTGCGGGTGGTAGATATTCTTCCTGGGCGGTCTTGTGACACCGATAGAACTCCATCTTCAGGGCTCTCATGGCTGGAGCCTATTAGCAGCCGGCCAAATTCATTGTCCTCAGAAAAAGATCTATGTTATAGCTAGATACCTGACAAGCATGATAGTCTCTTGCGGTCGCTCACTCAGACTTGTTGGACGAGGTTCATGGCTCTGAGAAATGCATACCGTCTCGTAGCAGCTATGTGGGCTGTATTCATGAGCGTGACCTCGCTGTTTGTTTATCAATTAGCATGCTGTCTTGTCGGAGTCTTGGCTAGTTGCCACTGGCACATGTGCCTTCCGCATCTGCACATTTGCAAAAAGTTGATTGCACTGTAAGAGCTAGTATGCCAAGGTCGTCGAAGCTGCAAGATAGAAGGAGCTTCAACATGCCGACGCGAAATGCAACTCTGTACAGGGCTAGACAATTGTGCCAAACATGTTCATGTAAAATTCAGCACAGGACCCTGTGTCTTCAAGGGCTATAGAGAAGACCTGGGCTGTACACAGATATCAGTCTGCAAAACTCTCGTGCAAAGGGCAGCAAGCTGCCGGCAATGCTCCTCTGACATGCCACAGAGTGACACGACAAAGAAACATCTTATGAACAGTAAAGGGGCCGCTGCGCGATCACACTGGCCCTCTAGCCCCTAGGCTGTGTATGGAAAACTGCCAGTGGGATCGTCCCATGAGAGGAGCGCAAGTGTATACCTCCATAAATAGCTCTGCGGTCGCGCAAGGCAGCTCCTTGGCCTTTGGCCTTCATTTGAATTCCATCGAGTGGCGTCCTTTTACCTATCTAAGCTTCTTTGGAAGCCGAATGCTGAGTGGCAGCTTCTGGGTCTGGGCCTCCGAAATGGGAGGCCGGTAGACTTTTGTGCCTGCCAATCGCGTCCTAGCCTCCAGCATGGACACTCAAGAGCAAGGCGGGATAACGGAGTTCATCCAAATAAACTGTGGGTTTTTAACATGTCTGCGAATCCCTCATCTTGGAGCCTCTCGCTCAAGGGGGGTGAGCGTTCGCAGCCTGACCACCGGTCTTGCTAGACATGACGACATCAAGACCGGAGCCACCGATAAGGTCGGACGAGTTTTACAGGCGGAGGAGCACTTCCGACCCACGGCTGGCTGCCATGGCATGCTCAAAAGAGAAGTGATCTCCGGATACATACCTGGAGGTGGCAACCTGGAGAAACTTGTATCTGAAACCTCAGACAAAGGGGTAGGAGGACACGGAGACCACCCTGAGCTTTGCAGAGAGAAGCATGTGCGCCATGTACACGACAGTTGGCACCCGACCTTGTGTCTTCAGGTGCTGTGGAGAATCAAAACCCGAGCCATGCACGGCAAACAGCACTTAACATTCAGGCAGAGCGGCCCTTCCTTGGGGAACAAAGCCAGAATGCTCCAGTCTGCAGTCAGAAGACGTATACCGGCTTAAAAGGGGGCTGTGCGCACACCAGCTCTAACGGTGCAGCATGGGGCTCGTTTGCGAGGAAGCCGTTACAGAAACAAGGGCCATAGTACCCTAAATCCTGGCGTGGCGTGCTGCCCACATAAAAATGCCCCTGGGCTTGCCGGATTAAACAGCAGCGACTGCTCAGTTCCAAATACGACTACCTGCACTTGGTCTGCGCTGCTTCGGAGAAGGTACAGTAGAAGCCAGAAAGTTGGGGCATTGCTATCCTCATGCCCTTAAGGTAAATTATACGGAACCCGAGCACTTCAGTCCATGTGCCACCTTTTCGGGCTTCACTGTCACTACATGCGGACTGGCAGCCCCTAAGGCCCCGGATGTCCTGACCTCCCCCCGTCGGACCCTGCGGTTGCTGCCAATCGCGTCCTGGCCTCCGCCAGCAAAAGTAGAAGAGTAGGCTGAAAAGACTCTCTCCAGGGAACTCGGTGTTTCTGAGTTAAACAGTTGCTCGTCGTCTGTCTCAAATGCTGCCAAATTAAGTCAGGTGGTCGCAGCCCTGGCCGCCCACCCAGCGCAAGCATGCCGTTTGTGGTTGACTGCTGAGGAGCAAGACGACAACACCGTAAGGCAAGCAAAGAGCAGGAATGCCCAAGACCAAGATGGCCATGATTGAGCTGGGACTCCACTCCTGGGTGCCAAGTCTGCGGCAGAAGGCCTAAGGAGATGTTTCACGGAACTTTTTTCCCCGATTCTATAGAGCTGTAACAGACACCTAGAATGTAGAGTCCGGAGCCGAGGTTCTCTCTTGCGCCTCTGGACATCTGCTTTCTGCCGGGGGACCAAAGGGAGCGCGCACATGCCGAGCAAGGATGCAGCATAGGTCAGTACGTAGGACCAAGCTACAGTTGATCGGAAAGCTGGTGTGTCCGTGACATAGTTCTCCAGCAAGGACAAAGAGGGCTTGAAGAGACCGAAGATTTGGTTGCTTAGGGCCGTGGCAATGGGCAGGCTGGCATGCTGGACCGTTCCGATCAGGCCGTAACAAAGACCTTCCTGTCCAGGCTCAGCGAGCTCGATAACCATCAGGCTGTAAATCAATGCAAGCGCAGTTGTGGGCACGGCACTGGCAATCTCCTCCCCAAGGAAAAAATACTGGTCACGTACAACGCCGAAGATTGTGAGGAAGGTCGGGATGGAGTCTATGATTGTCACCGCAACGATAGCAATGAAGATCGCCTTCCGCCAGCACGTCTGGAGGAGGTACCTCAAAACGCTTTGCAAATTGAGGGGGGCGGATGGGTCCCTACATCGGGATTGTTTTTTCTGCTGTGGTTTCGCGACAAACGAAACCAAAAACTTGTGCCAAGCGGACCTAGACGCACCTTGTAGACCCAGGTCGCTACAATCATAACTAGCATGCTGCCCATGGCAAACAGCTGTTGCTGCAAGACCTTCACGCCGGCCCATTGGCTTCGCACCATGGGTCCTGCGCACTCCGCTCCCGAACCCTAAACACGCCCTCCACCCTCTACTTCCCCGCAGACTGGCCACGGCTGGGAAATTCGATCCTGCCGTTGTGGTGATGGTGCTGAAGAACTGGGCGAGGAAGGCAAACAGCAGCACGCTTGAAAGCCCTTTGTTTCGAACCAGCTTCCTCAGTCAGGGAGGCCTAGGCTTGTGATTCGCGCCCCTAGCAAAGGAGTGTGGTCTAGCACAAAGGCCACTACCACTGATTTGAAGTCATCCATACAGAGATGGACTCGTGATTTGACTACCTGCAGTGTTGCTCGTGTTGACTGAAGCACTCTTACGGCCTGAACTGTTGTTTTCCTGCCGCTGCAGCAACAACAACAACAGCAGCAGCAACAAGAACACCACCAGCACCACCACCACCACCACCAACACCACCACCACCAACACCACCACCACCACCGCCACCACCCCCGCCGCCACCACC